AAAATAATGAAATCTTTATGACGGGGAAGCTGCATGCTACTGGACACTGCATCCTCTCTTTCTGCTGTTACATAATGAATATGCATATGGCTGGGTCTGTGTCTCTCTGTGTGTGCTGATGTGTGTGTGTGTGGTTGTATGTGAGCTTAGTCAGACTCCTCCAGATCTCTGCCTCCACAGATTAATATCTGCACTCCACAAAGGAGCCCTGTGTGCCTTGCAGGACAGACTTTCAGGACAATGAATCCACTGTCTGACAACACCATCTCCCACTCTCAGCTAACTGATACCAAGCCCTTAGTCCTGAGATTAGAGGACGCTTAGTCTTCCTGCACTAAAGGTGATAATTGAATGACACATCCATGCTCAGAGCCTTCTCCAAGCTCTTCACAGAGTCATTCATCTTGACTGCCCGACACTGAATTGGACGAATCAATAGCTTTGGCACTGAGCAGCTGGCTATTTTTCCATGTTCATGGATGAAATTGAAGATCATTACTAAAAAGATCTTTCTTTATTTTTAAAGAAATATACACAGTGCAGCAAAAAAGACAACGGAAATGAAAAACATTCAATGATACCATTATTAAATCTCTTGTTTGCCAAGCCATGATGCTGCCTTTCCAACACCACAGAGGGGTTTTTGTTTGACTTCCCTTTCCTTCGCCTGATTAAATCGGTAATTGATTATGTAATAAATACTGAGAGAGTCAGAAAGAGGGTCCTTTTAAAAACACAAAGCTACCCAGTCATTGTAGCTTCCCTATTTTTTTCTCATTAGTGACACGCATAAGCACTAAAAAGAGAATGTATTCCCCTCTGTGTGCAACTGACCTCCGCCTGACCTGGAAACGAATGTTCATAGCAGAACTGTATGTGGCCTTCTGTTACAGTAGTGGAGGAGGGAAGAGGAGCTATTTTAAAACCTACAGTGGAGGAGGCTCACATGTATCCTCCCTGGGAAATATGCTGACAGTTCAGCCAACAAAGACACATTAAATGATAGATACTGCAGATAGATAGATTAATAGATTAAAGATGTATTATTTAACGCAGTGAAATTAGATTTAAATGTAGTGCGTGTGTGTTTGTATTTTAAGTGTGAGCACAGAGGAGTATATGCATGTGTGTTCATGGCTGTAATGGGTGTGAGAGGATGAGAGGAGGCAGGAGAAAGAGGGGGAGACAGAGAGAAACAGAGAGATAGAAGAAAACACAAAATAACTTCAGGCAGCCTGCTGGGTAATGAAACAAGCGTTTGAAGTATCACAGGGTTGTACATGTTTTTTAAAATGACTGAACACTCACTCCAGCGCTTCTCTGCGCCAAACTAAAGGGAAAATGAAACGAAAGAAGGATTATGTTTACCAGCATTTACAGTCTGCTACCAATAACACCACTACTATATGTGATTGAACGTGAGACATAAAGCCAAGGAGAGGTTGGCCAAGTTTTCAAAGGGATTGTGGGAGTCTTAAGTGGATCAAAGACTGTTGTTGTACTTCAACACCGATGGACAGCAAATGGAAGTAATGGCTCATATAAGTCTTTTTTTTGTAGCATTATGTTTTATAGAGATGACTGGTGGTGGTGCAGCATTCCAAGCAACTCCTACACAAAAGTGGAGAGTAATACAAAGAAGACTGATTGTAAATTAGTAGTTAAAGCCTTTAAAGTACTGACTGAAATAATCCAGTACTGAGTATTGAAACTGCACCTGTCAAATAAAACCTGCATTTGATTTTTTTCTTAAAGTAAGAATGTGTGAATTTTACACATACTGTAAATATAACAGAAATCATGTATATCCTATGTGAATGTCTCTTTGAGTCATGCCTGTCTACAATGAGTGAGAAGCTTAATTCCCAATTCCTGTATTGTTGTCAAAGCTGTGTTTAAATCAGGTTTACATTACTGTCTCCTCCCCTTGCGTATAAAAGCTGTTTTAGTCATGGACTAGAGAAAAGAAGAATAACTCTGACTGCTTATTTGAATGTTGAGTTGAAGAGTTTTTTTTGGTTTTTGTTTTACAGTACATCACAGTAATTTTGTATAAATTTACATGCAAAGCTACGAGCTAGCTAAAGGACAAGCCAAGGACAATTTTGTACGCCACTTGCCCTTAACTCGCCGCTAACTCCGTAATGGGAAAACATGAGTGAAGGGTGTTAGTAGGTGTGTTGATGGAGGAAAGTGGAGGCATTAGTATGAGGGAAGTGTCGTCAAACAGCAGTTTGTTTTGGTTTCATGCTGGTGCTCAAGGGTGACATCTACTGGATCAAAGAGTCCCACACATACTTTAACATTTTTTATTGTTTTGCGTCAGGACAATCATTTCAGGTGTATTTTAATGAGTGTAGCCTGTAATTGACCCACTATACAGCAACTGAAGGAGAGATTTTTTCACAAATATTTTACACACTTTTTTTAAATACATGTCTTTCAAAAAACATGTTGATAAGGAGGGGTGGAGGCATTTTACACGATAAAATGCCTCCATTCAAATGATAGGTATATTGAGTCAAGAAAAAAAAACTAAATTAATAGCCTACTTAATTAGTAGTAGCTTAACTTTAAGAATACTGTTATTGGTAGTAGTTTTGTTTTTTTACACAGTTTTGTGAAATTGTTGGACAGATTACTCAAATGATATGTTTTTTTAAGTCTTCTTTATGAGATATTGAAAATGATGTTACCAGTTCAGCTTTTATTCATTAACGCAGAGGAATTTGGCTATTGGGACTTGTAAGATTTAATAACCTTAAATAATTCCATTTGATTTTTCATATATCCTCATCTTTTTCCTCTAAAAGCAACCCCTTGAAAATTTCATGTGAATTAAAAATGTTAGTGAACAGCAAATATACTAAAAGGAAAACCAAAACATATATTTTTTTAAAAGAAGCAACATCAGCTTTTCAACCTGAGTGCACACTGAATAAAACAGCACAGTATTTCAGAGGGCATTTATGCATGAGTCATCAGATGAGTCATACTATTCCTCTCTGTGATGCTGAGGCAAGATACGTGGGTTTAGGCCACTGTGTCCCCTCCACCGTGGCCTAATCCCACTGAGCTAACCTTTTACTCACCCCCTCTCTCCACTGGCTAGTTTTTTTTAGGTAGACAAGGGGTTAAAAAAGGACTGGTGGAAGGAAGAGTCCGGGGACATTTTTGGGGCCACACTCCCAGCGGAGGTATGTTTGGAGGGAATTACTGTCGAAGGTCGGGTTGCAGTAAAAGTGCAAGATTTGACCACAATTTATATTCTCATCCAGCCCACAGATTGATTTGGCTTTATTAAATGTTTGGCAGATTTAATCTCTCCTCTGGCCAACAGTGCAAATCAAAGGCAGAAAGGATCTCTGAGGGTGCCAAACGCTACACTTCCTCCCTGCTGTGCAAGCAAACAAGCCTCTCTTCCGTTACGTCTGTTGTTCTCTCAGGTACCATTCACTTTACAGCCATAAATAAAAGGGTGTTGCATAAGGCTCTCTTTGGTCATCCAGGGGGGGTTAGGGGGGTCAGAGGTAGTGCTTGACTCATAGCATTGCTTTTACAAAAATATGAGGAGGCAGAAACTGTGGTTTTACATTCTGTGTCTACAATTTTGTTCCACTCTTCGGCAATATTTTGATAAAAGCAAAGCGTTCTTATTGCAGAACACGATAAATGTAACCTGAAAATCTATAGCGAGAATGTTAGGCCGAGGAGAAAATACTTGAAATTTGTTCTGATGATGCCCTTTACAGTTCATGATTGGAAAATATATATTTATTTATTTTTCTTTTTTTTTTTTACAGCTAATAGCATTTGTGCTCATTGCCATAGCTGCCTTTGAGGTCACTGGGGTTATGTTAAATTATCTCAGGGGGTTGTGAGGGTTTTAAAAATTGAAGGAATTGTAGATGTGTCTGTTTGTGGGGGGAAAATAAACAAATAATTTAATAACAACAAATATGTGCGTTTATTGTTAAGAAATGTAGGATTGTCATTAAAACTGCCTTGGGTCATTCATGTTTGAAGGTCAATTTTTTTAGAAACATGACTGATGTGAATAAATCTGAAAAAGGACATTGTGTTGACTAGCTACTCTTTAATTTTTATTATTGGCTACATTGTATGATCTATTCTATGACCTCTTTTAAAATCGAGATCTCCCTCAGAGTTTTATTACTAACGACAAAAATGGGTCCCCCTTTAAATGTTTTATTATAAACTATAAGAGGTAAAATTGTTGTCTTGCAGGACTGTAAAATACATTTTTTTGTTTCTGACTAATTGTTAATAAGGCCATTTTAAATGTTTTTCATCTGTGAAATATAATCTTATAAAATGCTTCACCAGTTTTTCATCCATTTATTGGGTTCATGTTTTGCTACAGTTCCTTTCTAAAAGGTTTATTTCTAGAGTTACTTTTAAATGTATCTTTTCACCAACTGCCAACTACCAATTCTATCAATTTTAAACACCAATAAATCTGCAGATAAATGCTCACAAATCACAATCTGCGTCCGGAGACAGTTTGACATGAAGGATTTCAAAAATGACTGATATATCAATTATGAGAATCCTTGCCAATTACATGAATGTCACTTGAACTATTGATTAATCGACTGATTGTTACGTATTGTTAAATACTGATTGAACTCTACCAGCAATTAGTTTTTAATTGAAGCTTTAGGAAATCTAAATCAATTATTAAACACATTAGTTTAAACTCTTAGAGTGTGACTCGTTTTCAATTTTAAAATGACCCTCTTATTACCTTGTGGAAATAAATTAATTGTTTAAACTCTTCATGATTATCCTCATGAGGTGTTGACACCATGAACCGTTTTAAATGGCTAAATATTTGTGACACAAAAAAAACAGCGTTAGCCTATCTTTCTTGAGCTAGTACATGGCGAATTTCATTTTTGAGTGCTTTAAAAAATATGATATAATATAAAACATTAAAACGAACTATCAATTAGTTGTCTGCATTATCAGAAGTCATCAGCGACGTTGCTGCTGCTGCTGCTGCTGCTGCTGTTCCTGCTGACAGTTATCACCGACCAGCTCAGATTTCTACGTAGATTAGGATGAACAGTTACTAAGAGAAAACAGGCAGGAAACCCGAGGGCAGCACCGCAGGGACCGAGCGGAGAATAGACGCTAGCTTCGCCGTTTATCGTTTACTCGGGAGTTGCGATGGTCCAGTCAAGGGATATTTTTCTAGCCTTGCTTCTCGTGGGCTGTACAGGTAAGAATCTTAATAATTCAACTCTCATTCGCTTTCTTTTAACCACACATGTTAATATATGTATATATTTTTCCCCCCCTTAATTTAATTTCCCTGCCCTTTATTAGTGGTCAGGCATCCCCTCTCCTCCCTGGTCAACCCCCCTCCCTCCGCCCGTACGCGCTCCTTGTAGCAGGTGCAACGGTAACGGTACTGCGACTGCTGCTAATTAGCTTACAGCCGACGACGATGCACCGCATAACGACGCTCCTTGCGTGACCAGACTGTGCGCTGACTTGGTGTTGTAGTACATTAAATAAAACATGATGCTGCTCAGTAAGGACGAGGTATTTTTAAATTGGGTGTTAATGAGGCCGTTCGTATGGAATTTGTGTTTTTGTCCTGTTGCAGTCGTGTATTTGGTTTCATCTTGGCTGGGACGTGTGTTGTTGTTGACGGGGGAGTGATTCTGTGCTCCCTACACACATACACACACATATATACACACACGCATACACACACCTACACACACAGCCTCCTGGGGTTTAGTCACGGTCTCCCTGTTAAAGGTACATTGTGCACAAAAAAATATAACACGTGGTATTTTGAAGTGTAACCTTTTAATGACTTCATGTGCAATTGTATTAAAGAGGAGCCTTTGACAGATTGATGCTTTCTTGCATAAGAATATATGCTGGGCTTTTTTTCCCCCTGGACTGTGTTGGTTTATTGTGTGTGTCTGGCACACTGATACACAGCAAGCACAACTTCTACTCTGAATCATCTGTTACGTAATCTGATACCACGATAAAGGCTTTGTAACGAGATCCTCTAAGTTGGTAAAAAAAAAAAAAATGTGTCCTTATGTAAGTCCAAATGTGGGGGAGGTGTGTCAAATTATATTTTTGATAGCCATTGCGCGCCCTTTAAAAAAAAAATGGTGAATTCAGTCATTTGACATGTGATCATGCTTGGAGTAGTCCTCTCAGTTATGGCTCTGGCTTTTTTGTGGGATAGCCTTTTAATCCTTTATGTACAATCCAATTTGTGCAGGGGTGTTCCTCAGGCAGGAGAAGGAGTGGAGCCCTCACTGCATTGTAATGATAATGCAGTTTCTTTTGGGTTTAATAGAACATTTTATGTAGAAATGTCAATTTGCAAGACCCTTATGATTTGATTCAGTCTATTCTTCTGCTGTAATTTCTTATAGGCCTATTGAATTGATGCATTTGAAATGCACTTGTTATTTTGTCCCATGATCTGCACTCAACCAAACTACTATTTATAGAGCTCAGAATTGTTTCTTGTTTCTTGAAGATTTAAAATTCATTGATAACTTTTGAATCACTATGGCCTCTGTGAATCCCCATTGTGTTTGAGAGGGACTGTCTGTCAAAGTTAAAGTTTGTAATCTTTTTTTCAGAGCAACTGCAGAGAGAACACGTGTTAACACTCTTAAGTAGAGGAAACTTTTGGGCAGATATTGTGACAAGAAAGTTGAAGCATGTGACTTTAAATGACCAATATTCAATTTTGTGTAACCAAAAACATGAAAACATTTTATTCGCTATCTTTTTTTATCGAGAATTTTGATTGAGTATATAATCAGTGGTACATTTGTAGTTGGAAAATGTATATGTCCATAATGGACAAATGTCAACTTGGGCTTTAGAAAACATTGATTGACATTTTGCGCATCATTCCATAGACCTAAAAACCAATATAGTGTTTAAGGAGAAACTTGCAGCTTAAGTGACATGAAAATAATGATGATATGCAGACAGTCATATCAGTTATAATAGACACTGGAACAAATAGTGTTAACCATTATACATCATAAACATGGATATAACTGAGATAAGACTGCATAATTCCTGTGTTGTTGAGTCCACAGCACATCATCCCCATTTTGTTGTTATATAAAGCAGTCTACCTTTCATAAACGGATCATTCTTTTTCTCATCATTTATTTCCCCCCTCACTGAACCATAAATACTTGTCCTGTTTTCCTTTACTTAATCCAAATATGTCGTGGTAGTAATATTCTGCACAGATGTCCATAATAGATCATTTTTTTAAATTTATGTTTAGATAAATGGAAATGAAAGAAGTCTTTTAATAGATGGTGTATAATTGAACTGAGATTAGGAGGGATTAACTATCTCTCTCCTCTCTGGTGGCTGCATGCTGTTGAGCCCCTTGACATAATTATTAATTGATACTCCTTAAAACTGACAACTTGAATTTGAGAGAATTTCCAAACTGCCTCTGACAAAAAGAAAATGTAACCTCCTGAAATCAAAGTAAAACATATGAAGTAAACCTGTGAAAGGTGAGGGATAAATTCCAATGTCCTCAGCCTTTATGATAAATGTCATCTCACCCTTTGGCTCTCTTAAACAGCAAAGCATGGCTCTCTTGTTTACAGTAAGATTGTTTCACTTAGTGTGTGTTACATCATCAGTCAGGTCATGTGGCCATGATGACGTAGCTTAATGCTGCTCCACTTACAGAGCAAGATGGAAGCGTGGTTGACCGCAGGGCAACCAGAGAGATTCTTTAAATCTCAGTATGCCTCATGAGGATGCCAAAACCATGACTGCAAGTAGGATTTAAGATAGCTATATTTTCTGAACAGAGATGGAAATAGTGTGCAAATCTAGTATGTAAGGTGCAGCAACAGCCAATCGGTTTACATAATTCAAAAGCTTTAATAAGTGCTGAGCCATTTACCATTTGTCCTGAGTCTAATAAGACCAGTACTGTCTCAATTCAAAAATGCCCAACTTAGATAAGCCTCAATGAAAATGAGAAAATTATTTGGGCTGCTGCTAATATTATTTTCAAGGATTGTTGAACTCCCTTTTTTAAGTGTCTGGTTTAAATAAGTCTTTACATGACTATAAATTATTTTCTCTTTCCGCAAATTACTTTCCTCAAATGGTTACTTCTACAAACTCAAGATTGGCGTTTAATCAAACAAATACTTGACTTTTTCTCCCTATTTACAAGTCAGACAACTACTTTGTGTTGGTCACTTTATCCTTTCAGCACTACAAATCAGAATGGCTTGGCATGTTAACAGGCTGCACTTTGTGCTCTGTATTAGACCAACAATTCAAAATATTGAATAGAAAGTCTGAGTGTTGATGTGGGAATCAGGAGTAATCTGTTATAAACCAAAGCAGCAACCGTGATGATTCTGTCAAGTGGATTTGTACAAACTTGACTGCGAGCGTCGAGCAGCACTCTGTGAAATCGTATTAAAAGGAGACAGACACACGCACGTTCGGGGAAAGGTCCATTAGGGAAAATCCTGCCAAAGCAGGTACAAGGCTAGGCCTAGTGGATTTTTTTTCTTTGTCTTTCTGTGATTTTTGTTTTGTCTTATCAAATAACTGAAGCTGCCAAGAAGAGAGTATGTGCTGACAGGCTGCTGCTAAGCTTTAAGGGCTGTTTATTGAACCAGAATGTGTTTCAGAATGGAACTGACGATGGGAAAAGAAAACTACTGGATTTGGACACAGTTTATGGGAAACAACTGTCAGCCATGAATGCTTTAGGTATTGTTTCTAGTAGATTCAACAAATTCATATTTTATCTTAACCGTGAAACAGTCAGAGAAAACCCCTTTAGATCAGACTGTAGTTTTCAAGCTCCAATAGCTCTTGCACATCTATATATTTTTTTTATCTCACTGACGCCAGTGTTTTCTTGCAGTATTCGGACAGAGAAGCAAGAGAGAGGATGGTTTTGTTGTAGCTAGGACTGCTTGGCTCCTTAGTGATGGGGAGTGGATCAGACAGATCCAGGTCTGAGAGACTTGAGAGGAGATGCATTGCCTAAGGACGGTTAAAAGATGACATTACACGTGCACGTGACCCCGTGAAGTACTGTGGGAGGAACATAAACATCCTCTCCTGAGGGTTTTTCACAGAATAGGCGCAGGCTGTGGGTTTATTAGCTGTTTTTTGCAGAGATCATCATCTGTTGTGGTAGCCTCATTATGCCTTTCCTGTGAGGAAGCTTTTTTTTATGAGGGGTTTTTGTAGGATTAATATTAATCAGGCTTAATTTAAGAGTACCAAACAGGTTCAACTCAGAAGCACTTAAAAAGAGGCTTGGGAGATGACTCTGTGGTGTATCTTGTTACAACTGTTTGCAGTCCTATACTTGCTTATAGCACAGTACAAATTTAGGTCTTTGAGCTATCAGGAAATGAAGATAGTTTGTCCTTGTCATTCATCAAATTAAAGAAAAAAGAGGTCAGCACTGTGAGCATTGGATCCCTGTGGACGTGTAACCCTAGATTGTCAAACCTTTAGAGAGCTAAATGGACTCTCTCAACTTTGAAACTTTAGCTCCGTCAAACAAGAGAAACCGATGACAGGCTGTTGCAGTCTAACGTTTTGTGCAGTGTCAAGAAGTTGAGGTCTTATAATAATTACTTTGTAAAGAGCTCAGTTTGATTTGGACTACAATATTTGGCACCTCATGGTACCCATGTCCTGCTTTCAGTAATATCCACCTGACTCCACCTGACTGTTTCTGTTTCTCATTTTCCATGATCATTAATGTGTGTGTAGGAATGCCCGACCCTCTTATATGTTATATTTATGTCATATATGTTTATTCTCTGCAAAAAAAAACACCTGCAATGAGACAACAAATTAACTATAAACCCCCAAGTATTAGTAGTAGTTGAAGTCTTTTGTAGAGAAAGCTTAAAGGTTTCTGTAATTTAAATGTTACATTAGGCCCATGCACAGACCTTTAGAGGGGCAGGTGCAGTGAAAATAGGGGCACGCACATGAAACTACATCAACAGAAAATAGTCGATAAATTGATAGGTCGGTCGAAATACAGTTAATTGCAAACTACTTTGGTAAATTATGATTTTCAAATGTTTTTAATTCCTATTATTTTTACATATCATTTCCTCTATTAAGATGCCAAATAAACAATTAAAAGGGAACATTAGAAGATTATTATGGAACATAATTTATCGTAAAGAAAGGTTA